CTCAGTATATCCAGTAAAAAAACTGTGGTGAAGTCCTTTATGGGGATAAAGTTTCCAGAGGTGAAATTTTAGGTAGCACACAATTTCTTACACGCATGGTTGCTTTTCAGCACTGATGAAAGAAACTTAAGAATATATTTGAAAAAAAAGTTCATATAGTACATTAATTTTGAAAGAAATACCATATAATGTATGTACTCTGGTTAATAATATCAAAAAATGTATTAGAACCACCGTTTAATGTTATATTTGATACAAATTAATATTGCTGCCCCGAACGCTCTGCGCCTTGCCTCTGAATAATAGGTTTACTTAAAATTACATCCCTGGTCCTTGTTCTTTCTGTATCGCATCGTGGTGAATTCACATTTCTCAGAAATTTGACAACAAAACAAAACAAAGCGAGTATTTTATTTGCTAATTTTTGCGATTTCTATTGTTTAATGTAAATTTGTTTTTTTAGGATATGTCGAGCCAACAAAGAAGGCGCAGTTGGAAAATTTAGTAATTAGTAACGAAGTAGCAGGCATATTTGGAAAATTATGCCGATAAACAGGATGGAATTTGGGAAAGTAAGTGCATGGTTGCAGCATATCTATGTATAAAAAGTATTTAATTAAATTGTTTATAGAAACGTTATAAATCGAGTGGCTCATTTACGATGTGCTCCAAACATTTGGCGAACTTTTTTTCGCCTTTTCAACGTGCTAAGTAACAAGTTAAGATGACTGCCATCATGGGCCGGTAAGAAACCGCAAGCAAAGGGCAGACAACCTTCCAGGAAGCTGCCTCCTGTCCCCGAGCCGAAGCTGCAGTTCAGCAAGAGCAGGTCAGCAAATTGCTACCCTGATCAGACGTAAACTAAAGCGCTCTGCTGTGATTGCACTCCGTAAATGATCGAAATTCTTGAGAAGGCGAATGTACTGAATGAGTTAACGTGTTGTGATTAAATCGGCGGAATAATTGCCAAGCACTCGGTGTTTAGAATCGATCAGTCCTTATGAATCCGAAACATAGGCTCTAATTTTTGGTGGGGCTAGTTTCTGTGCATAGCCCTCTCCGGCAACGGACTGTTTAGGATTGGGAATGAACACTTCCGAGCCTATCTCGAAATGGCGTTCTCTTTTGCGGGTCAATGCCCGTTGTGCGGTTTGATGATATTGTTTCGAACTGTCTGTCTCGAATTTCATCAGCCAGAACTTTACGTTGCTCCACCTCCTGGGTATGGTATGGATTTACATCCAATAATAATTTATATTCGTTTCCATCTTTCACATATTCACGACCGGTGTGTAGGAAATATGGCGTGTAGCCCATGGCGGAATGCACTGAAGTGTTAATATCATGAACAACACGAGAGAGATAGTTTTCCCAGGAGGAATGTTCATGAAAATCAGTCATGTGAGCACGTAATCCAAGTTTAATGCTTTTGTTTGTCGCCTCTACCTGATTGCCTTGTGGATGGTACAAAGGCGTTTTCATGTGTTTGATATTATTATCGGCGCAAAGCTTTGCGAAAGTTTGACTGATGGATTGAGTACCATTATCTGATATAATGAGTTCGGGGCAGCCATTCACCGAGAATATATGTCGAAGATAATTGACTACGGATATGTCGTTTGCGTTTTTCATGGGCTGCGCCCAGACATATCGCGAGTAACAGTCGATTGCTACGAAGATCCATTGGTTACGATTTTTAGACAAGGGCAGCTTACTGACGAAGTCAATAGATAATTGTCTACCCGGTCGTTTTGGTTCTCTGTATTCGCCGTGAGGTGTTTTGGTGCTCTCATTACTTGGTTTAATGCGGTGGCATAGTTCACATTGCCGAACGTACTGGTAAACGGACTCATACATGTTTGGCCAGTAATAGCGTTGTGAAATACGTCTATAAGTTTTCCAAACACCCTGATGCGAATGTTGGTTATGATTTTCATCGAGGACTTTTCCTTTGTCAGAATATGGTACACAAAGTGTCCACAGTATTTCCGCACTTTGATTGGAAAATTTCAATCGATGATATAGGAGGTTGTTCTCGATTTTATATCTATCTAATGGTTGTTTTGAGGCCATGGCATGCATTTTGTTGTACCATTTATCGCACGTGTTTGGGTCAATGTTGATCACGGATGTGATTGGGGTACGATTAACGGGAAAATTACTCGGAAGGTCAATTGGACTTCTACGAACGATGTTGAGCAGAGCAAAAGAACGAGATAAGGCGTCAGGAAGTTCTAAATGTTTTCCTGGTTTATGAATAATTTTGAGATCGTATGGTGATAATCGGATCGCCCAACGGCATAAACGTCCAGTTGGTTCTTTGAGAGTTTGTAGCCAGCGCAAAGCTGCATGGTCCGTTACCACAACCAAATCACGACCCTCAAAATATGGACGGAACTTTTCGACCGCTAAGAGAACGGCTAGGCATTCCCGTTCGGATGCTGTGTAATTTTGTTCGGCTTTCGAGAATTTGTTAGAAAAATACTGAACCACTCGTTCATTCCCATCATGTTCTTGTACTAGAACAGCACCCGCTGCGATAAGCGAGGCATCGTATAAACCTTGAATGGTTTTGAATAATCGACCATAGTCAGAACGGGAGTGGTAGTTAAACACTCTTTGAGTTTGAGAAAGTCTTGTTCAGCAGCGGTATTCCATTCAATGGGTCCTTTTCGGTTTTCTTTATACAATTCACAAAGGGGAGCTGTGATCTCCGAAAAATTTGGAATAAATTCTCGGTACCAGCCTGCTGCCAAATAACCGTCTGACTTCTTTTGCCGTTTTGGGCACTGTAAATTCAACAATAGCTCGAATACGAGATGGATTCGCAGATAGACCCTCTTGAGACAAAACGTAACGCAGGAATTCCAATCGTTTACAACAAAAATTCGATTTGGATGTTGAGATGGTCAAGCCGGCCCCCGCCAGACGTTTTGCAACAATAGCCAATATCTTAACGTGTTCTTCAAACGTCGAAGTGCAAATTATGAAATCATCGACATATGCGAATGCATGTGGAACCAAATCACGGAAAATTTTATCAATGAGAATGGCTAATGTGGCGGGTGAATTTCTCAACCCCATCGTCATGCGACGAAAAGCATAAAGTCTGTTACCGAATGCAAAAGCGGTTTTCAGTTGACTCGATTTTGCCAAAGGAATTTGAAAGAAAGCTTGAGACAGATCAATACTGGTTAGGTATTTAGCTGACTTTAGTCGTGCTAAAATTTGGTTAGTATCCGTAATTGGATAGGCATTTGGAATGGTAATTTTATTCAGCTCTCTCGCGTCCAAGCACACGCGACACGTTCCGTCTTTCTTCTTTACAGCCAGAATTGGTGACCGCCAAGGGCTTTCTTCGATGGTCATAATGATGTCACGACTACGCATTTTATCCAATTCGGCTTGAACTTGTTCAGCCACATATGGCGATACTGGATACTGGCGTTTCATGACGGGTTTTGCATCACCCGTATCAATTACGTGTTCGATCTGATTAGTGACGTTTAAAGGACCAGACTCAGGAGTTGGATTAAAAAGTCTGAGAACGGCGTCCAACATTTGTCTTTGATCTGGGGTGACATTATGTGGAAGGCTGACGCTTTGGGGTATCTAGTTCACCCTCTAAACCGAGTGTGGAAGCGTCAATTGGCTCCAGATCATTACTCATAGAAGATACCTGAGCTTGTTCTTTCCCACTCCCTGGTGGCTGGTTACAAAAATTAATAAATTTATCCGCCGTAACCATTTCGACTTTAGCGGATGCAACTTCTTCAGTATCACCTTTGGCTGTATGTTTTAAAAATCGTTGAACTTTCTCTTGGTTCTACACCAGTTCGAAAAAGAAGGCCTCAAGGAATGTCCGTCCCATAATTGGGTGTTTCAGTGAGATCGGAACGACAAGAGTTGGCACCAGTCGGGTAAGACTACCGACCGTATATAATACATCCACTTTACCTTAAAAGAAATCGAATTATCGGCAAGACCAATGGAGGTTTTGGTAGTTTGCAACTACCCTCATCTGTACTTCTCATAAAATGTTTGTGAAATAACTGTGACTTCGGCTCCACCATCGAGTAAAACCGTATGAGAATGGTTGTTAACCATAACCGTGAGATAATCGCGACAATCGTTCGGAATATTATATGTCAAACATTTCTCTGAGATAAAGAAAACATCGCGGAGTCGTGGTTGGTTAACTTGATTGACTGCGTCTTGCTGGTTAGTAGGGACTGGAGCTGAAGTAGGTTTGGTAATTGGTAGTGTTCGTTCAGAACATTTAGTTGATGGTTCTTTGCCATCCCTTTGAGTTTGATCATATTTATTAAGAATCAGAGTAGAATTATTACTGGAATTTGGGACTGAAGATTTGTCGATTTGTAGAGGGACTTCGGTATAGTGCGGATTGTTAGAGACAGTGGATTTAGATAAAGTTGTGAATTCTGAGTACGATGGACCACTATTCCCAATCGACGCCCTTACGCGTTTTTTGAACACGGGCATTGATCAGACGTAACCCCTGGTCGTGTACATTTGTAGCAGATCAGCCTATTCGGTTGGGTTCGACACTTTTTGAAGTGATGGCCCCACACGAGACATTTTGCGCATCGTACATTATCGTCGCCCTCAACAACGAGAAATGGGTGGACGATAGTTCCTACTTTCGTATCATTCTCCTTTGGATTTTTGTCATTTTTATAATCCTCGACTGGTTTCGAATACCTACGTTTCTGAGATGCTTTAATTGGCTTATTTTGCTTGTTCACGTATGCACATTCCCTGTCATCGGAGTCGGACCCAGGAAACGCAGCGGTATATTCCGAATGTGAAGAATCATCCGGTGAATCATGTATTGCCGAAATTTCCCGTGGCGCTGATCGCTGTCTATCCGAACGGGTTCTTTCCGGACGGGGTGTGGCAACAATGAACGAATGTGGGGCAATTCGCTAAGCGAACTCACGCAATTGCTCCAATGTGTGGACTTGTCGAGTGTGGACCAGCTCACGCAGATGATCGGATAAGGTACCAATGATGATATCGAGGTGGTCCCGTTCATCCAGACCACAGGAATTACTCTGCAATTGGAATGTCAGGTCATCGATATGTTTCAGCAGTGTTTGCGAACGTGGATGGAATTTAATCTGTGCATATGACATTATTACTTGGGCCCGAGCATGTTTGTTGAGGAAACGAGCACGAAGTTTCGTGCAAAAATCTTGATAATCTCCGAAGTTTCCCAGTTCGGTGAAGTACCATTGTCGAGCGGCCCCCGTGAGTGTGGGTACCAAACGCGTAACCAATTCATGGTCGGGTACTCCAATCTTATATCGAAATGAGCCAATAATAGCCAAATAATCTTCAAACGATAGACATTTTTCGTTCACATTTACGCCATCGAATTGAGCACGTCCCGGCCATGATGGTAAGCCTCTGAATTTCATATCCATTGCATCCGCTTGGGCAGATTCGTCGAATACAGTGGCTTGATTTGGTCGTGGGTGTGGTGGACCGGATAGCGAATAATTCTGATATAAATGAGATGGTTGATTAATTGGTTCTTGGACATGTGACGTTCTAAGGCCAAGGTAGGTATTGATCGTTTGAGTTTGTAAGGTTGAAGGACCACCCAAAGAACCATAAGGAGGATCCACCGAGAGTATCCAGGTATGATTCCGGGTCGTTGGCATGGTTTGGTTCATGACACGAACGTCAGGTATTGGTGTCTGTAAATGAATCCGGTCACGGATCATTTGCTGTTGCATCTGTGTTTGGGTTCTCAACAACTCAGACACCATTTCGGACAGTTGGTGTGTTGAGGGTGTTGGTTCCGTCCCGCCTGACACTGAATTGAGA